TTTTTTTTTTTTTTTTTTTTTTTTTTTTTTTTTTTTTTTTTTTTTTTTTTTTTTTTTTTTTTCCTGCTCCTGGCACTTCCTACTGTTTTTCCAGTTCTCTAAGGTTTAAGATAAACTTAACTAATTTTGATGTTTGAACTCGTGTGTGTGTGTGTGTGTGTGCGTCTCGTGTGTCGTGCTCCCCTGTCTGCAGCAGAACTGTAGAAGGATTTCCCCAAGCCCTGCCCTTCCCCAGTCCTTCCTATCATGTACATTTTTTTCCAAAGAGGATGAGGCGAAAATGGTGACGAGGGTGAAGCTGCCATTGATGTCTGGTCGGGAAGCTACGGGACAGTCACAGGGAAACAGTGAAGGGGGAGGGTACCTGGCATCGTCCTGACGAGGATCGAGGAGGAGCAAAGCTGTCTATTGAACTCTTTTCCCGGTAGGTTTCTTTGCAACGCTCGCCAGTTTGGTTGGCTGGTTGTCTGTCTATAAAAAAAAATGGCTCAAATTGGTGAAGTTGGTAAACCCATCTAGCAGTTGTGCTGCCTTTTTTTTTTTTTTTTTTTTTTCCATCAAAACTTCAAAAGTACAAAACACCCAAGCCCCTTCTATTCTGGGGGGCGTCACTCCGGTTGCTTATCACCGGCAAGCATGAGTACAAAGAGAAGGAGCCAAAAGAACAGAGCTGAAAAAGAGTCATCCTAGCCCTTGCAGTGCGAGTCGCCTACTCAAGGAGGGGGTTGCTACGAACTGACCCCCCCGCGCACCCCCCCACCCCCCGGGACCATGCTTTCCTAGGGGGCTTCTGCTGGTCGGGAAGATTACTGGCGAGTAAGTTAATACACGGTCAGTCAGGGAATGAGTTACGTGTTTATTGGTTAGGTGAAAAAAGAAACCCTTTGGGTACTTGGTTTTTAACAATTCCATCTCATCCCAGCTCCTGGTAGGGGATTAATGGGCACCCAGTGTATCTGGAAGCCGGTGGGGAACAGGTCGTCTAAGTAAGGACGGTGGTAATGCCATCCGTAATGGTGTACTTTTTCTTTTTTCTTTTTTCTTTTTTTTTCCTCCTTAAAAGCCCAGGGTGTTGTAGAGGCCAAGGACTAGACCCATGGTGGTAGTGGTATGCTTCTGACTGGCATTTTTTTGCGTCGTTGTTTGTTCTCCTGCGTTTGATGCAGATGGCAGCATGAATTCGCTTGTACGGTCGTAGCCCAGTCGGATGTGTTCTGCACGGCGTGGGTTGCGGCGTATCAGTGAGATTTCTTTCACTTCACAAGAAGTTATAGGCAGGGCAAGAGGGGGAAAACTTGGCGTGTACATTAACTGGATCATCATCAATTTGGCGAATGGTTTCAAATTTTCGATTGTAGTAGCATGGCTGCGGAGGCGGCATGTAATGGCGGCATGAGCTCACCTGTACCTCTGGGATGTGTGTTCTTCATGGTGGTATATCGCAGCAGCATTTCAGTGAGATTTCAATTGTGACAAAAAGGCACGCAGGGGCCGGCGGCGAGAGGGGAGAGGGAGGGAGGGATGGAGGGATGGATGGATGGATGGATGGATGGATGGATGGATGGATGGAGGGAGGGAGGGAGGGGAATAACTTTGTGTGTATATTGATTGGTTCATCGATTTGGCGACGGACCCCACAACAGAGTCGTCGTGTAAATAGTGGAGAGTGCACTCTGTATGATTAGTTTGATGAACTTTGATCGCGTTGCGTGTGGCAGCAGACGAGATAGATTTCGGTAAGAATTATTGTGAGCAGGGAGGTGTTCAGGTTTCACTCGCTCGCTTTGCTCTGCGACTGCCGTGGCTGACGAGATGGGAAAGGCTGAAGCGGAGGGCTTGACCAGGAAGCTGAAGTCTTTGGTGGCGTCTCAAGCGGTGGCAGTGAAGCTTTGCTTGCAAGCTAAGCCTCTTGAGTTCGGTGGCAAGGCATCCGAAGCGGCGGCAGAGGAGCATTGCTCGTGGTTTTCCCGCATACGTTTGCTGTATGTATGGTTTTCAGTCTAACTTGTTGATTTCACAGTGAGCAGGAGGCTTCGAGAAACTCTGGCGGCATGACAGAGCTGCACATGTTCGGTGTGCGCAGAAGAGAGAGCAGAGCAGAAAAGAGAGCAGAGCAGAGGAGAAAAGAGAGCAGAGCAGAAAAGAAATACCTATACGAGAGCACGGGGGAGGTCTGTTGCATATTGTCTCTGTCTGTTGCGCATTGTCTCTGTCTGTGGCCACGTCTCACGCACGGAAACAACTCAGAAGAAGAGCATTAGATCTTGTATGCAGAGCACTAAATTACAATTCTTTTTGGTTTGCATTGCAGAATATTCAGACAGCATTATTTTTTGAGGTTTGTGACCCACGAGAGGTTTTATTCTTTCTTTGTCGTCTTTCTTTTTTAGGTAGTTTCAGTTTTTTCCCCTATCTGCCGAAGTGTCTCTAGTGCCCACGTAGTGTCTCTAGGGTTCGAGTCTGTCTGTCCGAGTTTATGTGTGGACAAACATTCTCACTTCATTCATGAATCGTGAATCACGTCATGGTCATATCCTTTGGCTCCTCTTGTCAGAGCCAACACACGGGAGTTGGTTTTCCGTTCACTTTTTTGAAGTTTTTTCCCCATTTAGGAGAGCTTCTCAGACGTTTCCCTGATTGCAGTGAGACCCTAGTGGGAATTTGTGTGTACAGTGTTCGCGGCTGTGGATGTTTCAATTTTGTGTGCACTTTTTAGTGTGGCGGACGAGTCCTTTCTCTGTACAATTGCGCCCGATCAACACACTCTAGGGCAGTGTTACGCGGTGCATTATGTGCAGTTAAAATGAGCTTCAGAATTCAAATGGAGGGGAGGGGCGGGACGATCTTTAATGTTGCAGTCTTTAGCACTTGCTTTTCTTCCATTCTTTGCGCAGTACAATTCTTTCATTCGGGATTCCTTTTTCCTTCTCATCCTCCTCCCCTTGCTCCTCTCTCCTCGCACCCGCTTCTCTCCCCTCTTCTTCCCTCCCTCCCTCCCTCCTTGTCCCTGTTCCCCTTCCTCTGTTCTATCTTTCTCTCCTTCTCCTCTCGTGTGACATGTGAAATGCTCTCCTTTTCTGCCATACACCATCCCGTCATGCAATTTCTCGGCATTCTAGTCGCCCGTCCTCTCTCTCCTCTGGCTTCTCCTCCTCTGCTCCCTCCTATTTGGTATTATAGCCCCCTTGTCCCCGCCCCCCCTGCTGCCCTCTCTCTCTCTCTCTATGTATGTATATATATATGTGTGTGACGTATATATATATATATGTAGTGATGTGACAATATATATATCGTCAAATAGAACTGCCTACGGTAAACCGTAGGCAGAGAGGGAGAAGAGGACAACAAACGAGGGGCTGTGACAAACTGTTTCGTCGGAGTTTCACCGACTCATCAGGAGGCTATATATATATATATATATATATATTCTGTTTGTGACGATATATATATATATATCGTCAAATAGAACTGCCCGGTAAACCGTAGGCAGAGAGGGAGAAGAGGACAACAAACGAGGGGCTGTGACAAACTGTTTCGTCGACCTTTCTTTGTTTTGTGGGTGTTTTGCTGGCCTGTGATGGGGTGTTAACCGACAGTCTGTAGAGTTGGGTGAGTGATAGTCTGCTTTGATTTTCGTTACAGGTACCTTTGAGGGCAGTGGTTGGTGCCCACCTCAGGGTATCAGTTGTTGGGCAGTCGTCGATGCTCAAGCACAACCGGGGTGAAGGTGGATTTATCACTTACAGTGTACTCAGTTAGGGGATTCTGCAGATTGTTGACGGTTCAGCCTCCTGATGAGTCGGTGAAACTCCGACGAAGCAGTTTGTCACAGCCCCTCGTTGGTTGTCCTCTACAGACTGTTGAGGGTTCAGCCTCCTGATGAGTCGGTGAAACTCCGACGAAACAGTTTGTCACAGCCCCTCGTTTGTTGTCCTCTTCTCCCTCTCTGCCTACGGTTTACCGGGCAGTTCTATTTGACGATATATATATATACATATATTCAGCCTCCTGATGAGTCGGTGAAACTCCGACGAAACAGTTTGTCACAGCCCCTCGTCCTCTTCTCTCTCTCTGCCTACGGTTTTACCGGGCAGTTCTGTTTGTGACGATATATAGACATATATAGTATATGGTGAAACTCCGACGAAACAGTTTGTCACAGCCCCTCGTTTGTTGTCCTCTTCTCTCTCTCTGCCTACGGTTTTACCGGGCAGTTCTGTTTGTGACGATATATATACATTATATATTATATAATAATTACATATATATTATTTGATGATATATATATGTAAACTCGGTATTATCCCCCGGTGGCCCCCCCCCCCTCCTNTCTCTCTCTCTCTCTCTCTCTCTCTCTCTCTCTCTCTCTCTCTCTCTCTCTCTCTCTCTCTCTCTCTCTCTCTCTCTCTCTCTCTCTCCTGTTGCCAACCCGACCAGCTTTCAGCAGGAATCACAGCTGCTGCTTTCTTCCCCTGAACATAATGGGCCGGCTTTATTCAGTTTGAGTTTTTTGAATAGGTCCTGTTTGAGATTTTGGCCGATCGTTTTCAAATAGAACTCTCGTTTAGAAGACAACTCCTAGTCCTTGTATTCAAATATAACGCTCGGCAATGTAGTCACTTTTCATCAGTTGAAAGAGGAACATTTTATTCGAATGCTCTGTCCTGCCAGAAAATGCTGTACTTTTGAATGTCGCTTGTGAGAATGGATGTTTGTTTTCCTTTTTCCGATTCATTATTTTTCCTCTTTCATATTTCTATTAGCACCGGTTTATCTCTTCAGGGATGAGGGGGAGGGAGCGGAAGGCGGCTGTTTCCGGCAAACATTGCCTTTTTTTTCCAGAGGCTGGGGGCAAGGGCCGAAGTGTGTGGTCCGGTCATTACAAGCAGGATGATGCAGTGTTCACACCTGCCCTGCTACAGAGAGGATTATATTTTTACTCTCTCGCTCTTATGTGTGTGCGTGTGCATGTATGTGTGTATTTGATGGGGGGCAAAACCTCCACGATCGCATCCTGGCGAAATGTAGTATTATGAAAGTCTCCAACGAGACGGGCAACTAGGAAAATGTCGGCGTATAGGGAGAAACAACAACGGATCACAAGGCAGCGAGGGGAAAGGCTGCAAAGCATAAAGCTGCAAGGAAAAGGCAGCAAGCCAAAAAAGACAGCAAGACAAAGGCAGCACGGGCATGGATTTTGTCCTTCGGGACAACATCCGTAAAAATTGGAACGATACAGATGAGAAGATTAGCATGGCCCCGACACGCATATATCGAGAAATGGTATAAATTTTAAAGAATACATGGGCACGGACGAGAAGCGTCAGCAGAGGACACAGCCAGGAGGGCACGGGGGAGGAGGGTGGGAAGGCAAACAGCACAAGGCACCAAGGGAAAGGCAGCGAGCGAAAAAGCAACTAGGCAAAGAACAACAAACAAGAAAAGCACAAGTACCGAAAGGCGAAAAAGAAATGAAACTGATGATGAAAGATTCTTTTTGACCGGATTGGAACGCCAACCCCTCGACAATCCGTGGAACTACCAGACTGATGCTTTGGGTCATGAACCTTTTGAACCTTGTTGAAAGCAGACTGCCGCCAGGCGACACCACAAGCGGAAGATAGCAGACTCTAGACCTTCGGCGCCTTCGGTCGGGGACCCGGAAACGACTCAGCGAAGCACCAGGCAATGCTGCCAGGGCAACTTCAGAGCTTACTGCATGGAACGGCAGCACAAGTGGACATGCAGCACAAGTGGACATGCGGCACAAGTGGACGGGCCACATTGCAATAACATGCCAAAGCACAAGGCAACACTGCCAAACAGCCAAATCACACGGCACGCACGTGTGAAGTGCACAGAGAGACGAGGCACACAGATGGGCAGCTCAGCAAAGCACAAGGCAACACCAGCAATGCAGCCAAACCACAGGGCGAACGCACCAGCTGCAAAGAGCGGTATGGGGAGCAAGTGGGATGGGCAGCAAGGTTGTCGCAGAGCGTACACGAAAAAACATTAAACTTGACCCCCAAACCCTAATTTCAGTTTTGGACCAGTTAGTCAGGAGCTGAAAGTGGGGGTCCCCGTTGACCACTTGTGAGGGATGCTGCCTGCGCATATACAGGGGACGGGGGAGGCTCAACCGAATTGTCCTCCAGAGGCTGTAGGGCTTGCGAGTGCACATTCACATACTGCTCCTGATTGACCAGCCTGACCGAGCGAGATTCTGCGGTCTGCCCGCCGTGTGCACCCCACCCCCATTGTCCCGTAGGGTTCATGAAAATCCGCGCAGGTACCAGCGCCGAAATGACCTGGATGGTTCAGGATGTATGCGTGAATACTCAGGTCTTTGTCTTCTGCGGAGTGGGGTGGAGTTCTAGTCGACTTCCCATAAATGCCATAGACAAGATTTCTATGTTCACACCAGGCACAGTACTGTCAAGCTCTGGGCGGACAACGCGGTTCGCTTTTTTCTATGCAGCGGAAAATATCTGCAAAATCAGAAACAGTATAGGGGTTGTTAGTGTGTGCGTGTGTGTGTGTGTGTGTGTGTGTGTGTGTGTGTGTGCGTGTGTGTGCGTGTGTGTGAGTGTGTCAAAGATCCCCAAATTCTTTCGTCATTCCAACCACAAACCATCATAAACCATACATAAAACAAAAAAGGTATAGATAGAAAATATTGTAGAAGATGCAAGGTTGTCCACGTTTGTGTGGTTAAGCGGCAAGTGCCCATACACCCGTCTGCCACAAAAGCAGCACACTTGCACAAATGTATATTATCACTACATGCATAACAATCGCTATTTCACAGAGTGTGACCAGCAGCCAATCTGGGGCCTTCGTTTCCTTGGCGCCGAATGGTCCAGATTGGCTGCTGATCGTTTTCAATGTCATCAACTCGCGATCTGCACCGTCGGCGCCGTTCTACCGCACGGCCCAGATTGCGTGTTGATCGTTTTCTGGCCGGTAGGCCCTGGGCCGGTAGTGCCGCGTGGGTACTACGGGGCCAGGGCCTACCGGCCCTGCTTTTTCCCAGGCCCCAGTAGTGCCACGCGGCACCAGTGCAAATTCGCTCTCCCAAGCAGCGACAATCAAGTGCATGGCGCAAGGATAGAGTACAGCCTTGCGCAAGGACGAGCACAAATACAAGGAGGGTGAATGCAATTAGGAAAACGGGGCACGAACTCGGCTCGAGGCGGGCGAAAACGGCGGCGGACGTGCCTTTGATCAAATGACAAACAAAGCGACGGGGTAAGAAGGCGGCCACAATCTCAAGATAGGAAGGCAACCATGACCTCAGGCAATCCGCCTCCTGGTTGTCAACTCGAATCTCCTCCCGATCTTATCCCTCGTTCTCCACATATCTCCTCGTATGCCCCTCACCTCCTTTCTTCTCCTTTTTCATTCACCTCGTCATCTTCAACATCTCCATTCCCACAATGCACCCGGCCCTAAAAAGGCACTAAAAAATTGTACCATGAAAGAACAGACTTGCTTATGGCAGTGCGGTTCGATAATGTAGTCTATCGGATCGTTGCAATCAGGAGAATGGGCCGGGGTACGAGGCAGAATGCCTCTGGTCATGAGAGCGGCCACAAAGCGGTTCTTCGGAGGGGGCTGCAATCAT